ACTGCTGCGAGCCCAGCGCACGCTAGCCCAGCTGCCACGAGCCAGGCCCGGCCCCCAGCTGGTGGCGCAACCAGGAAAGCGAGGAGAGCGAGGGAGGAACTGGCCAGCTACCTCTTTGGGGACAAAGGTGAGAGCGGCACCTTGATCGGGTTGGGCTGATCGAAGCACCTGATCGGCCCTTTGCGGGAAATCAGATTCAAAGCGTTGGGGGGGCACTTTTGCTTAAGGGTCCTTGAGTTTGCAACTGTTCAGGACCTCAGAGCTCTTGTGTGTATGTCTAGGAATACGAGAAGGCGAGCTTCTACGCCCACACGAGTCAACCAGGGCTTCACCTGTTCTCGTTTTTGATCCCAACTCTTCGTGCTTTCTTTTTCAGTTCCACACAGCTACCTCTGCGGAGAATGCAGCAACCCCGCGACCTTTGCGGTGCGCGGGAGCAAGGAAGGGAGCAACCTCAAGTACTTCTGCGGTGTGCATCGCGAGGTCACGGGCTGCTTCAAGATCGAGAAGACCCGGACAGGTGAGCCCTGTGCAACTGCCGGTTTGTGTACCACCGACACATTTGTATTGATCACTCGGCCAAGAGCTGCACCAGGCCCAAGCATGCAAGTATGCAGAGTTTGTAGGCATGTTGGCGGGCGTTCGCCGGCCTGTGTGTCCTGCATGTGAGCGCTCGTAGTAAAGACCTGTGCTTCTTGCTTTTTCAGAGTGGGCACGTGACTGTGGAGTGTACAAGTTGAAGGCAGAGCTGGCGCGAGCGCTTGACGAGGAGTCGCGGCTGAGGTGCAATCGGGGTGAGGGTTTGTTTGGTGCAGAAGAACGTGCCCTTGACTTTTGATTCAACGGACAGCACAAGATACCCTACTTTGCCAAGGCTATCCTCAAGTCGCACTTGACCTCTATTGACGCGCAGCTGTTTCAACCTTGTCGAAAACGAACACCCGTCAAGCTCTCGAGCTGTTTGCTTACATCTCCAGTTCGATGCGACCTTTCTACTAGCATGCAGAACATGACACTTTCCTTTTCCTCCACAGATTGTAACGGATGGCAGGAAAGCGGATACTGGGGGGATGCAACACCAAAAAGCAGACTCCTGATAGGTAAGTCGCTCGGATCATCAGATTGGGGCGATGAGACTCGGCTCACATCTGGTCCCCGAACCATAGGTGTTGCGCTCAGCATCTGTTGAAACTTTGAACGTTGGGCGGCGGTTCAGAAAAGGTCTCAACTTGTGCGCAATATGGTGTTTGAAGCTCAAAACGGCAGCTTGAGCCTTGACCCTTCAAAAGTCCGCGCTTATGTAGGCGCCTGCTCTTGCTCCGTTGAGTTTTGTCAATTCTTCACGGTCGTGAATGAAGGTCTGCCTATCTGTGTCAACAGCTAATGCTGTCCGGCTGACCCTTTGCAGCAAAGCTCTTGATCATGGGTGGAATCGAGAGCAACCCAGGATGGTCATCGTCAAATGAAGCCAGCCCGGAAGGAGAGCGTCCTTCAGCATCAGAGGAGACGCACCAGCATCTGACGGCGGCGTGGCCGGAGCTCCGCATCCTCGTGATGTGAGCAACCTTTGACGTGTTTCAGTCAATCTCAGGGATGACATTGCTGTGTCGGAACCAGTTGACCAGTTGACCAGGCCCAGCAGGCAATAGCCCCGGATATCAAGAAGTGGGCTGTCAAGCCTCTGTCCAAGGGCTTTCTGGGCACGGAGAAGACAGAGGGAAGGGGTCGAGTCAATTTGCACTGGCTTGAAGAATTGACTGTATAGAATCTGAGGTGCAAATTGACAGCCCAGGCATTTCGCTTCCCATCCTACGACCTTGGTTTTGATTCAGCGAGCAGGTGTATTGACCCCGCGCATGCCATCGTACCTCATTCGACCCACACACCCCTTGCATGATTGCTCCCTTAAAAGCGTACGTATGTTATTAGGCCGCTTAAAATCATTGAACAAAAGGCTGCAAGACGGGACCGCCAGAATATGGAAGCTCCAGAACGTAACTCTCTATCTCTGCTTGCAGGCCGCAGCCGTAACTTCTGACGCCAACGGCGCCCTCGCAGACATGATCGCACACGCTGAGGTGCAAATGAACTTGCCTGCATCCGATGTGGACACGAGAAGGCCGCCGGAGCAGGTAAGAGGCCCATCATCTCTAGTGTACTTCCCTCCACGAGTGATAGATCCCTTCAAGCTGCGTTTCGTGACCAGGCATGAAGTTTTGGTCGTTGCTTCGTGAGCTGGTCAGCTTGTGGGCCTAATATGCATCATCCAGTGTTACTGAATAGGGGGGGCAGGGTGTGCAGGTGTCGTCAGAAGCGGGACCGTCGAAGAGGAGGAGGAAGAGACTCGTCAAGGTCTCAGAACTTGCCAGCGGAGCCTCGGTAGAACTTGCTGCAGGCAGCGTGGCCCAACCCGCTGCCCGCACTGGCGCAGAGTAAGCACATGTGCCCGACTTCTAGACACGGTATCAAGCCTTGCTGGGGTGTTGCTAGGAGGGAGTTGCGCGCGCACAGAGTGGTTATTCTAGTGGAAGCACATGCAATTATACGCATCCCAAGAACCTGTCAGGTTGATCACCAGTGGGTAATCAACCCCCTGACCGTGCTCTCCTTCTGCTTGGTATCCAGGGAAGCAGGAGAGTTGGAAGAGGACCTTGATGATTCGTCCGAGCGGGCCGCGGGCAGCCGGCGCATCAGGCGCAGGGCAATGGAGGAGCGAGTGGTCGTCGACTTCTTTGCAGAGCGCAGCCAGCAGAGAGAGGCTTGGGCGGCCAGAGAAGAGGAGATGTTCGGCCCACCCTCCTCACTAGAGCAACACGATTCTGCTACAGATGTTCCAGAATTGGAGGCCTTGGCAACGTGAGGCCCTGCTCTAAACTTGGCTTATCCTACTGTCTCTCCAGGAAGTCGCTGCAGTCAATGAAGTCTTTCAGCCTGGTCAAGTAGGTTCCAGTTGCGAAAACTAGTCGCATGCTTTTGCAATGGTTCCAAACCCCGGGTCCCGAACCCATTGCCAAACAAGGTCTGAAAAGTGTGGTTGGGAGGTCAGAGCTCAACCGCTTCTTGCCGCTGCAGCGACGATGCCGAGGCCGAAGAGCAGGAGCCGCTGGGGAGGCATAGTCCAGCACCCACTGCGCCCGACCTGGTGAGCCCAGCGCTGCCTTTCAAGGAGTACGGACCGTGCCTTTGAATCTTATTAGAGCGGTCTGTAGAATTTGACTTGCAGGATTTTCCGTGCAAGGCGGGGCCTGGCACGATCGTGGCGAGTTTGAAGCGAAGCGGACTGCTGACAGATCTGAAGTATTTCATGCAGCTCAGTAATGCTTCAATGATCGAATGTGTGTTGGGTTGTTGTTGGCATTCACTCTTACACGGAGTGGGCTGCAAAGCTGGCTTTGCTTTTTGGGAGCTCACCCTACCGCACACACCCCCCCGCATTGAGACCGCCGCAGTTTCTGGTGCTCGTCCAAAGCTCACCCATTTGCAACCTGTTGGCCGTCAGGTACGGAGCCAGACAGCGAAGCAAGGCCATCGACGCCAGTGGCTCCGAAGACTGGTCGGCCGACATCCAAAAAGCGACGGTAAGCTCGTTGGTCGGTATTTAACACGTATCTTCGCGTCCCCGACACAAAGGCGACTCTTGTGTATATATTGTATTCCGTCAGTTGCTTCCTTGGGTACTGTGAATAACAAAGGCATCCTTTGGGGTCCACTTGATTCCCTGGAGTTCTCCCAGACTGCTGCTTTAGGTCCCTTCAGCAGCAAACCGTTGACCAACAGTGGCCTGCATGATTGTCGTGTATTGATCCACTCTCTCTTCTTGCGCATCTACAGCAAAAAGGCAAAAGCGAATCCTGTCCCCATGGACGAGGCGGCTCGGGAGGCCGGTCGAGCGGCTGCGGCAGCTCATCTCCAAGCTGTGGGGGCACTGAGGCCCTCGAGAACGCAGCGCGAGGGGCAAGCCGTTCATCAAACGGAGCTGGGTGATTTCGGAGGCCCGCCTCATGCACCCGCCGTCGTAAGTTGCCGTGGAGCATACTTTTTCATTGAAGCGGTTGAGACTTTCGGGCACATGTGTTTGCCGTTGTCTCACGTCAGTTAATCAGCTTGTGCGCACAGTTGTTCCGCTTGGCCTTGGCAGGCATCTAGGCGACCTTTCTTCTGAGCCCGAGGCTTTAAGTGCTGTCAAACATGCAGTTTGCTGTGATAGCCCTGGGCGTTGAAGACTTGCGAGCCTTTTCCAAATCTCCATGCCTGACTCTGCATAACTGGTCCGGCTTGCTCTTGAACGTGAGTGCGAACCCCTTTTCTTTGTCTTTCTGGCGCAGGGGCTGGTGACCGACGCTCCCATCCAAAACGTTGGGGCCCTGGTCGACCGCCTGAACGCCAAGCGGGACGCCGAAGAGGCGGCCGCGCGCGAGGCGCGGCTGAAACGCTACCGGCGCGCGCGACCCCTGGGTGCTCCACGTGGGGCGGGGAATTCCCTGGCCCGCACCATCCAGGACCCGAGCCCTTCCTCTCCTTTGCCCCCTGTCATCCTCTCTTCTCGGGAGGAGGAAGAAGCCGCCCCAAGCACAGCGCAGACCCCCCCAGCAGCCTTCTCTTCACCGGCCGTGGAAGATGAACGGGCCCCGCCGTCGCCGCCGGCCGACGATCCGGGTTCGGTTTTCTCCCTCTCGCAGCCCCATGAGCCCCCCTCCCCCGCCCGGCACCCACCCTCTCCCCCCCTCGCTGACCAGCCCGAGGAGCCCCCGATCATAGCCCCGCCTCTCCTCGAAAACGCACAGCCCGAGGTGGTTCCCAGTCAGCCCCCAGCAGCCGCCCCTTCCCCTTTCCCAACCCACCAGGAGCAGCCGCCCGTCGACCAGGCGCTTGCAGCCGACCCGCCAAACCAGCCCCGGGCAGCGGAAACAAGCCGGCCCGCTACAGCGGAGTCGTCCGCAGAGCTGTCGCCCGCACTTCCGCCCACGGAGCCGCCCGCGCAACTGCTTGGGAATCCCCCTCAGGCTGCGTCGGTCGAAGATAGTGGGCCCGGCTGGTGCAAGAAGCTAGTGGAGGCGCTCCGGCAACGGCAGGCAAACGGGCGTGCAATCGTGGTGGCGGAGGATGTGCACCAGGAGGGGGCAAAGCGCTATGGCAGCTTCAAGGATGTTGCGGCCTTGGTGGCGCACCGGAGGTCGCTCGGTGCGTTCGCGCACCTGTACGAGCTCATCCAGGACGATGCCTGCTGGCGCATCTACTTCGACCTGGACTTTTCGCTCCCAACCGAGGACCCGAGCGACTTCGAACGGCGCCTGGAGGCTTTCCACCTGGTCAGAGACCGGGTCCTAACCTCGGTGCTGACTGTCCCCGAGGGTGCGCTCCGTTTCCAAGCTTGCGAGGCGCACGGTCCAGCGCGGCCCCCGAAGCAAGAGTTTAAGTACAGCGTGCACGAGGTGCTGGAGGGGTTCTACCTAAGGGGGCTGGAAGCCAGGAGGGCATTCGGGAAAGCCTTTCGGTGCTTCTTGGAGAATCCCCCGGACGACCTAAAGCCGAGCATCGAGCTCCTCCGGAAGGACGGCGGATCCGCCTACATCTGGGACGGGTCCGTCTACGGGCAACATCGCTGCTTCCGAATGTTGAGGTCCTCCAAGTTCGGGGACCGTTTCCGCTCCCTCCTTCCCTCCGAAGGCAGCTCCGAGGCGATCGCTGACCACCTGGTCTGCCTCTACTCGGAAGCGGAGCTGGCTGGGTCCACCCGGATCAGCGCCGACCTTCTCGGAGAGTGGGCGTCCGCGCGGCGCGAGCCGCCTGCCCCGGACCGCGTGGGGGCCTTCCGGCAGAGGGCGCTCGCCCTCGACGAGGCGAGCACCTCGGAGGGGCCCGGCGAGGACCTGAGCGCGCAAGAGCGGGCCGTCCTCCTCGCCCGCTACCAGGAGGACCACGCGGGGGCCGAGATCGACCGGGTGGTGCAGGAGCGGCCGGGGCTGTTCTTTGTCCACTTTCGCGCGCCCCAGCCCACGTGTTGCATCGCGGGCAGGCGCCACACGTCCCCAGGCAACCAGAACCCGTACCTGATCTACAAGCGAGACGAGCCGCGCATCGCCCGCTACCAGTGCTTTGCCAACAGCTGCAGGTAAGGCGCCCTTGTAGTGAGCCGAAATCTGAAAAGCGCCCAGCATGGCTCGGTCGACAATCTGCACTGGTCGCTCTTTACATGCGAGATTAGAAGGTGGTGCAGATTGTCGGGCTCTTTCAAGGTTGACCAGCTCAGCAAATTGGAGAAGCATCAAGCATGGCCGTGGGCTGTCAACTTGCACAAGGGTCTCTACACCGAAGCCTCTTAAACCAATGCAGATTGTCAAGCTCTTTGAAAGCTTCTCTGAACCTGGTCTTAGCAGTTTTAGAGAAGCGGCAAGCATGGCTCGGCCGTCAATCTGCACAGGCCGTTCTTTACATTCATGCTTGTAAGTCGGTGCATTTTGTCAAGTTCTTCGAATTGGATCGGCTCTGTACTCCACGAAAGCGCACGGCATGGCTTGGCCGTCAATCTGCACATGCCGTTCTTTACATTCATGCTTGTAAGTCGGTGCATTTTGTCAAGCTCTCCAAGTTGGATCGGCTTTGTACTTCAGGACGGCATGTTTTGGCCGTCGATATGCACAGGTTGTTCTTCACATTGAAACTTAGATGGTACTATTCTCAAGGCCAAAGTCAGGTTTCAGGCATTTTCAAGGCCACGGTAAGGTTGCTTTTGCTACGCTGTGGGCCTGGTTGCGGGTCTGTTGTGGACTTAGGTTCAAGGCTGCGGTCAGGCTAGTTGGGGGGGCGCGGTCGCGCTTTTGTTGAGGCGTGGTGAGGCTGAATCGGGAAGGCTGTAGTCAGGCTGTAGTCAAGCTTCTGCGGGCCGCGTTTGAAGACGCAAACCCGGCTAATTTAAGGGCCTCGATCAAGCTCTCTTGAGGGCGCATCAGACTGGATTCGGCTGACTGGTGTGACCGACATTACGACACCCTGCATGGTGTTAGGTGCTTGGGCTGTTGTTGAGAGCGCCTCTTGTTCCCTCTTTGCAGGGGCGAGTGCCGCGTGCTGCCCCTGGACATCCTCACCACGCTGGGATGGACCGAGGACTACGAGGAGAACCTGGGAATGCGCCCCTACCCCGCGTTCAAGCTCGCTCACGTGCGCAAGCGAACCATCCTGATTTCGGCCAAGAAGGGGGTCGGAAAGTCGAAGGCTTTCATGGAGTGGCTGGTGGCCATGGTTAAGCTGAACCCCGGCCTCTCCTTCGTCCTGATCGGGGCCAACATCTCGCTGTCCCGCAAGTACCATCAAGATCTGGTGGACGCGGGCGTGGAAGGCGTGGTGCTGTACCTGGAGGCGCCCCCAGGGCCAATCACTGCCTCTCGTGCCGTGGTCTGCATCAACTCCATTCACCGCGTGCGCGCCAAAATGGACGTCGTGGCAATGGACGAGATGGACATGGTGCTCACCAACCTCAACTCTGAGGTCATGAGCCAACGGGGCCGGGTGCTGTCCTGCTTGGAGGCGGCTGTGGCGGGGGCGAAAGTCGTCATCGGCATGGACGCCAACATCGACTGCGCGCGGGTGATGGAGTACCTGTTCATGGCGCGGCCGGATGGGGTCCTCCACACCATTCGGAACAGGGGCCTGTACCCGGCCAAGCGGCAAGCGACCATCCGGATCTTTCCGCCAGGGAGCGGGCTGCTCGACTGCATCGGCGCCGCAGTACGGGATGTGCTGGACAGGGTCGCTCGAGGCACGAAAGTCGTCGTGAGTTCTTCTTAAGACCCTCCTGGCACTAAGAAGCCTTATGCACAGCGCGCTCGATTTCATCCCTGTGATCTTCTCAAGCACAATGAGAGAGCGTCTATGTCCAAGGTATAAGGCAAGTCATGCGAAGCATCTTCTCTGCATATTCACCTTGTGGCTTTGGGGATAGGTGTAGCATGGAGTAGCTGTTTCTGTGCACTCCACCTATGATGGGAGCCTAGTGAGCACTGTCTTGCCAAACATGACACAATTTGTCTTTTGAGGCCGTTTTGGGGGGCAGCTCTGGTGAAAGGCCGGTTCGGGGGATAGTTATAGGGCCAATTTTGATGAGGGTCAGTTTGGAGCCATTTTTTGGGGCCAGTTTCAAATTGAGTGTACGCCAGTGCGAACGGGTCTCTGTAAGGAACGATCGCATCAGCTGCTTTTGCCTTAGGTCTTTACGTTCTAAAAGCTGACGACCGTGCTCTCGACTCTTGTTGCGCAGTGCCCGTCGACCTCCAAGCGCTTCGTGAAACACCTCGAACACGATTTCAACGTCGAGAACCCACCTTCCGAGTCCGATCGACGCGGCGTCTTCCTGCACGCCGACAAGAGGTCGAAAGCCGACGAGGAGTTCTTCCAGAAGGCGATGGCCGACCCGGACACCTACTTGGAAGCGGACTGTGTGGCTTTCTCTCCAAAGCTCGGCCCGGGTGTCTCGAAAGAGAAGCCGTATGCTGAGGAGACGGTCGCCTTCGCCCTCAACAACCTCAACGGCCCTGCCGTTGAGACGCTGCTCCAGCAGCATGCTCGCTTCAGGACGGTCACTAACTCCACCATCTACTACAAGCAGGCGGTGAGCACTGCAGTGGACCTGCCGCGCTCTACTGAGGCGGTCTTTCAAGCCATCGAACGGGACGACAAGCAGATTGTCAAGATGCTCGGCGACGCAGCCGGCTTCCAGTTCCTGAGGGGTTCGCAGGGTATCTGCGACCGCTCCTCCGCGAGCTGCGTCTTGTACGCAAACAACATCCTCGCCAAGGTCGAAAGCTATCTGGAGTACGTGCCAAAGCTGAAGGCCGACCTCGAAAAGCAGGGCTACGAGGTGACGGTCGAGCACGTCGAGCCAACGGTGAGGGTGCCGAGTAGTGAGGCGAAAAACTGGAAAGCGCCCGGCATAGCTCGGTCGACAATCTGCACAGGTTGTTCTTTACATTCCAGTCTATTAGGTGGTGCAGATTGTCAAGCCCCTCAGGTGGCCCTTACAGTTGCAATGATCAAGTACTAGGCTTGAGTAGGGTTAAGCTAATGGACTGCTTTTGGGCCGCGGTCAGCGTGATCTTGGGGCAAGGTCAGGCTGGTTTGGCGTCTGCTGTGGGCATTGGTTTTGGTCGGGTGTGGGCTTGGGTTCGGGGCACGGTCAAGCTGTTTTGGGGTGGGGCTTCAGGCTGATTTGTGGCCGCGGTGAGGCTGGTTCTGTGTTTGCTGTGGGTCTGGTTCCGGGGCAGATTTCGGGGCCGTTAATAAGCAAACTTGGGGCGCAGTCAGGCTGATTTTGAAAGCGCGTTTAGGCTGGTTCGAGTCTGCTGTGGGCCTGGATTTGGGACTACTTAAATTGGAGCCGCGATCAAGTTGGTCTTTGAGGCGCGGTC